AGCCACCAGCGCCTGGCCCTCCAAGTACATTTGTAAAAGCCAGTAATATTTTACTTTTGACTCCGAGATTCTGCTTGTAAGACTATTTATACAGGGGGGGAAAATGCAGTGATCTTTAATTGTACTTAGGCAGAAAAGTAAATAAGGAAAATTTCAATTCATATTAAAAAGGAAAAGAGGATTTGTAACCACGAGCATTAAAAACTATCCAAGCCAGGCTTGCTAATTGCCATCTGTAATTCAGAGGTGGTGGCAGAAAGACACGAACTTCAAAGCAAAGGAGGGCTTTATAGTGAGGAAAGAAAGAAAAATGAAGAGTAAAGGAGGAAGGAGGAAGAAAGTTGAAGAGGAGGAGAGATGGAAGAGGGGAAGAATAAGGGAAAAAGAGGAAAGGAGATCAAGGAGGGGAAAAGGGAGGGAGGGAGGGAAGAAGAGAAGGGGAGGGGGAAAATGGGACACCAGTGGCTCATGTCTATAATCCTAGCTACTGCTGGAGAGATGGTGGTGGTGGATCAGTTTAAAGCAAGTTCAGGCCAAAAAGTTCAAGAGACTCTATCTCAAAAACAAACAAACAAACAAACACACACTAGTCAAGCAAACAAACATATTAATCAAGTGAGAGGCTGTTGAGTTCAAATTCTGATACCAGAAAGAAAACAACAAAAAAACCATAAAAGAGATTCTTACTCAACAGCAGAGCATTTATCTATGATATACCAAGATTTTAGGTTTGATCCTCAGCAATATCACACACACACACACACACACACACACACACACACACACACACACACACACAACTATACTCATCTCTGGGGATGCATTTTTAATTGTCTGATACTGAGTTTAAATTCAGAGTTCACACTTACCACTTGAGTTTCATCACCAGTCCTTTTCATTTTAGTTACTTTCTAAAATAGGGTCCAAAATTTTTATCCATAGCCAATTATTAATTTACCTACCTGTGCCCCTTTCTCATTTCAGCTAGGACTACAAATATGAACTGCCACACCCAGCTTATTGATTCCTGTTCTACATGCAAATAAATGTGACAAGATTCGTATTATAAAAGCAATATATCTAAAGTTACATAAAACAAAAATTAAAAGCTAATGAAATTCTGTTCTAATTATTAACCCTTGTCACATTGTCAATATTTTTGGGGGTGTGTGTGGAAGAGTTGATCCTGCAAGCTACTTTTGCTCAAGACTAGTGCTCCATCACTTGAGCCACAATGCCACTACCAGCCTTTTCTATATATTTTATAGGAGATAATAGTCTCAATGGGACTTTGTTGCACAGGATGGCTTTGAGCCATGATCCTCAGATCTCAGACTCCTGAGTAGCTAGGATTATAGACATGAGCCACTGGAACCCAACCTTAGTGGTAAATGGATGAAAACACACAGGCAAAGAAACAAGCAGAGAGAGGAAACAAATAGGATTAAATCAGCTATGGCTGAGGCTCTACAAAACATGTAAAACTGTACTTACCTTTCAAGTACAGGGGGTATTACCAGCTCAGGTCTCATGAGTGCAAGATTCTGCAGCGCTTGGGCTGCTTCTAGACTACCAGTTTTGCTAAACATAGCCAAGAGAACAGGCTGAATAATGCATTGTACAAAGTCTGTAACATCTTGATCAGTAAGTTTATGGCTATCAGGCACAGGAGTTAACCAAGAGGGCTTCTTGTATCTTTCACGATGTAATCTTCTAACAACACTGTTTGGCAATCTCTGAAGTAGTTTCATTAACTTGTTCTGGTATATAGAAACACAAAGTTCAGGTAGTTTCAACTTTTCAACAGACTCCTGTCTATCCACTCAAAAGAAATTTTTAACAGCTTGAAAAATATAAAGATCTGAATATCAAAACTACAATGAATAAAACATGCTAGTTATTGATAAAATTAATAAACATGAGTTTTAAATTCCAAGATTTAGGGATGTTTGTTTCTTAATACAGGGCGTCACTACATAGCCTAAGCTAGCTTTGCAATCCCCTAACCTCCTCTTCCTTCTAGGTGCTTGGATTACAGAAATTCAAAACCTTACCTACCCTAAATTCTAGGTTTTTTTTTGGTTTTAATCCCAATTCTGGGTCTTGAACTGAGGGCCTGCTGGCTGTTCCTGAGTTTTATACTCTACCACTTTAGTCACACCGCTACTTCCAACTTTTGGTTGTTATAATTGGAGGTAAGAGTCTCAGGAACGTTCCCCTGCCTGGGCTGGCTTCATACTGTGATCCTCAGATTTCAGCCTTTTAAGTAGCTAAGATTACAGATGTGAGCCTATAAACTCCACCTTTGAAAGTTTTTAGCATCATATAAGTTTTCCATTACACGAAAACCCATTTCAGGCAAGCAATTAAAAAAAAAATAAAAGGAAAACAAAAACAGCCAACATGACAAAATAGAAAAAAACAATGTTATGGTTTTGTGACAATTACAATTTTGTTGACAAATATGGCATTTTCTCAGTAGTTACCAAATGGTATTATCTTTATTTATTTATCAGTCCTGGAGCTTGAACTCTGGGCTTGGGTGCTGTCCCCCAGCACCCAAAGCGAGCACACTACCACTTGAGCCACAGCGCCACTTCTGGTTTTTCTAGTGGTTTATTGGAGATGAGAGTCTCATGGCCTTTCCTGCCCGGCCTGGCTTTGAACCGCGATCCTCAGATCTCAGCCTCCTGAGTAGCTTGGATTACAGGTGTGAGCCACCAGCATCTGGCTATTATCTTAATTTATTTCTAAATGTTTCATAAATATACTAACTTGAGTCTAATCATATGGAGGACACCAAATGTTATTGTACACCACATAATAAGTAGCCAATTACAACACTTTTAAATTTTCAGACAGAACATTGCAAAATGAACGTACTCACCAGCCAGCGCCCATTATTTGAAGGATGATAAAAAGATGTGATGCTGTTAAACAAACCAGCTAAGTGTTTTTGCACTAGCTTACTTGGTCCACCCTGTCCAAACAACAGAAAAATATGAGTGTCCACAACATACTGCAAAAATAAAGCTATTAACAGGCCAACTCTATAAATCAGTCTCTAATGTATTTCCTCTTCATCCTGCTGACAAAAAACAATTCTACCTCTAAATAAGAGTCAAAAGCAATTCTCCAATGAATTTCACGAAAATCAATTTAAAACATTCTATTAAAAAGAGCAACTTACTTAAAACAGAATTATAAAACAAAGTACCTTCCAACTTAGGAAAGTAATATATATTAAACCATTCTGAAGCCAAATAATATGGATATTAAAGTTTATCATTACCATCATCCTAAAATAAACAAAAGTGGTAATATAATGCATATGAAACATTCCTTACATCATTCAAGTGACTTTCTCAGTGTATGAAATGAGGGAAAATGTACATAAAGACATTCAGATATGTTTTCATTACTTCTAGATGTTTAAAATGATCGTATTTGGCCACATCTGGATTCAAAATGTTTCTCTATTCTGTATACTAAAATAAGTCCTTCTTAAAACTTTCAGTTAGTACTTAAAAAAAAAAAAAAAAGTTTCCCCGGGTGCCAGTGACTCATTCCTGTAATCCTAGCTATTTAGGAGGCTGAGATCTAAGGATCATGGTTCAAAGCCAGCCAGGACAGGAAAAGCCATGAGACTCTTATCTCTAATAAACCACTCAGAAAATCAGAAGTGGTGCTCTCAATTGGTAGAGCACTAGCCTTGAGCTGAAGAGCCTGGGACAGCGCCCAGACCCAGAGTTCAAACCCCAGGTATGACAAATAAAAATTTCTTTGGCCTGGAGGTATGGCTCAGTGGTACAACACTGGCCTGGCATACACAAGGCTCTAGGTTCTATCTCCAGTACTGCCTACCCATCCCCCCCCCCCCAAAAAAAAATCAACCAACAAAAAAACCCAGTTTCTGAAAAGATACAGTAACCAGATTTCTGTTTGGTTTTTAAATTATTATTAGTTATACAAAGAAGTTAGAATTGTATAAGCCAAGTCACGCAATGCATCTTGATCAATGTTACCCCTTCCATCATTCTCCCACTGGACACTAAGTTCCAATTCTATCTTTGTTTGATTCTTAGACTATAAAGATCTCCGTTCAAAGCCAGCCCTGGCAGGAAAGGCTGTGAGACTCTTATCTCCAATAACCACTCACAAAATCAGAAGTGCTGTGGCTCAAGTGGTAGAACACTAGCCTTGAGCTGAAGAGCTGAGGGACAGTGCCCAGGCCAGAGTTCAAGCCCCACGACTGACCAAAAAGAAAAGAAAAAAAATCCAAGATTCAACTGACAACCAACCTGGACTTGAATTTTTGTAGTTAAGACAAAAATAGAAGTTAACTATATAAAACAAACATAATTTATTACAAACCATCATGGCAGTAATCCATATTACAGCATGTCCTATATCATAAGCATTTGTTAAAAATCTTGGGACTAACACTTGACTGCTTCCCACTGGTAGGTTCAGGCTTCTTAGAATCCTTGTAAATATCTGTGAGAAGGAAAAAAAAAAAAAAGGTAAGAAAAAAATTGACATATCAAAATCCTTAAAATAACCTAGGTGTTTTATATTAGTTATTGACTATATTCTCATTTTATCATGGGTGTCCTGATATAAACACAGACATCAACAGATACACTGTATGACTCTGTATACACTGTAAGACTCTATATACTATATGACTCCTAGGTACACTGATATGAAGCAGGTGTCCATGAACCAAAAAATTTGATACAGTTAAATATATATATATATATATATTTAACTATATCATATTTATATTTATAAATATATATATATATTATATATATTGTAAATATATATATTATATATATAACTATATCATATTTAACTCTATCAGGCCTTGCATGCCTGAGGCCCTGGGTTCGATTCCTCAGCACCACATAAGCAAAAAGAAAAAAGCCGGAAGTGGCACTGTGGCTCAAGTGGTAGAGC